CTGTGTGAGAACAACGTCTACATGCTTTCTCCCAATGCCAGCGTGTGCCTGTGAGTCCCTCGGGCTGCCAGAGCCCAGGGTCCCCGGGAGGGCAGGGGGTGCTCCCTGGGTCATTCAGGCCCATGTTCCAGGTCGGGCCAGGTCCAGCCCTGCACGACTCTCCCTAGGCCTGTGCTCTTCTCTAGCACATGCAGCCTCCAGGTAGGGTCTGCAACTGCCCATGTGTACTGGCCAGTAGGCACTGGATGGGGCACTTGCTGGGAGGTCGGGAGCCTTGGCCTTGACTTGGGGGCTATGAGGGGCTGCATTGCGGGGAAAGCACCAGGGTTCTGTCCTCATTGCACGTACCGTGCTGCACCCCCTGCTGTCCACCATGGGCTCATGGCGAGGGTACAGATGCCATGAACACAGTGGGGAGGTCTCCTGGGCTCGTGGACACCTTGCCCACCTGTCCCCAGGTACTCCCCACTGGCTGAGCAGTTCTCCCGCCAGTTCCCGTCTCATGACCTGCCGTCCGTCCTTGCTAAGTTCTCCTTGCCGGTGTCCTTGTCAGAATTTAGGAATCCCCTCGCCCCTCCTGTGCAGGAGGTGAGTCTCAGGTGCTCAGGGAGCCACCTGGTTTGGTCCCTGATCCAGGGCCCTCAGTGCTGCTGTGCCCTTAGCCTGGGCTTGAGGGGAGGTGCTTGCTGTGTGGGTGGTACAGGCCCAGCCAGGGTGACCAGGAGCCCAGCTAGGCTACCTGCAGGCACTTGAGCAACAGTCCAAGTCCTTCCTACCCCCATGCACCCATGGAGCCCACCCTGCGCAGGGTGGGCAGATCTTAGGGTTAGAACCAAGTTAAGAGGCCTAGTTGGCGGGAGATCAGTGACCTTTCCTGGGAGGACAGAGCCACCTGGTACCCTCTTATGGGCCTGGGGTCCCAGAGTTGGGGGACTCAGAGATGATTTTGTTCGGGCCCTGCCCTCTGCCTCCCTCTCCTACCTGCCATGGTCCAGGTGGCCACAGGGTCTGTGGATGTGTCTTGGGCTCACTGGTCCCCAGAATCTCCTCATCCAAGAGGACCTGGACAGGACAGGCCCAGGTAAAGGGCAGGCAGGGGTGCTGGGTGTGGTGGGGTGGCTTCAGGGTGGGAGAGGCATGTGGAATGAACTGGTGAGCTCTGTGTCCATGGCTGGGTTGAGTGCCGCCTCCCCTCTGCCGCAAGCCTGGGGCCCTGGGCAGGGCCCAGTGGGCCAAGTGTCAGAGATGGGGCTGGGTGTTATCCAGGCTCTGTCTTCAAAAGTAAAATATTTGCCTTAACAAGTGCTGAATCTGTTAGGCAAAACCATTCCTTAAGGAGAGCAAACCCTTTCCTTTCTCAACCTGTGAATGAGGTAGGAATCATTTGCTCAGTTCACTTCAGTGCCGAGCGTGACTGTTGTAAATGCTGTCTTTCCCGGCACCTTCGGTTCTCAGGAACTGTGCCAGGCTGTGCCGGCTGAATAAGAAACACACTTTGCATGTGCACTGCCTCCTCCTGCCCCCAGCAGAAACTTCCCCACAGGCCCGATGGCAGGTGGCTTTTGTAGGCTGAGCCCGAGGGTCCCAGATGGAGCTGGTTCTGGTTCTGTTCAGTCCCAGACTGAGGCCACCTGCCCCCAACACCTGCTTCAGGCCTAGAATGTACTCACTGTGCTGCTTCATTTCTTTTTTTTTTTTGTTTTTTAATCTTTTTATTTTATTATTTTTATTTTTTGAGGGGGGTATTTAGGTTTATTTATTTATTTATTTATTTATTTATTTATTTATTTAATTTATTTACTTAGTGGAGGTACTGGGGATTGAACCCGGGACCTCGTGCATGCTAAGCATGCACTCTACCAATTGAGCTATCCCCTTCCCCCTCACTGTGCTGCTTCATTTCTTGATTGAAATTATTTTACAATTCTGGGTTTGATTTTGTGTGACCGGCCCATGTTAACCCTATTTCCACGGGTGGTCAGCCGGGACACCGGGGAGGAGCAGGTGGGTGTGTGTGTCTGGGAACATGGACGTCGTATGCACATACCTCCCTGTAACCGGGCCCAGGGCTCCTCCCGCACAGGCCTCCTTGCTGCTCCTGGTCAGCCCCAGCCCCATGGAGCGTGGACTCGGCACCTAGTATCTGCACACCTCAGCAGGGCTCTCTGCCCCGGGCAGGCTTTCAGGTTGACCCAGGGGAGGATTTCCTGCTCTCAGGGCAGCTGTCCACAGCTTCTTTCTGTGGCAGGGATGGGGCTCCACAGAGCCCAGTGGGGAGATAAGGCAGAGCAGGACCTCCACGTCACAGGGCTCCCGGGCAAGAAAGGCCAGACATGGGGCAGCTTGGGTGTGATGGCAGCCGTGGCAAAGGTGGCCCCGCTGCCTCCCCAGATGGGAGTTGGGTTTGCGAAGCCAGATGGCGGCTGGGAGCTCCCTGTCTGAGGTGTCAGGCCTCACCCTGACCTCCGGGGTGACACTCAGGTTATGTTTCGGGCCATGGCTCCCTCCTGGCCTGGGCCTCATGCTGCCCGTCCTGCAGACCCAGCTCATCCAGATGGTGGTGTGGATGCTGCAGCACAGGCTCCTCGTCCAGCTGCACACATACGTCTGCCTGATGGCCTCGCCCAGTGAGGACGAGCCCCGCCCCCGGGAGGATGATGTCCCCTTCACCACCAGGGTTGGCGGCCGCAGCCTCAGCACACCCAACGCCCTCAGCTTCGGCTCCCCAAGTAGGACCCCCTGCCAGGGCATCTGTCATGGGGTAGGGGGTGAGCACTTGGGAGAGGCGGGCAGCTAGGAGGCCCGACTTGGGTGCTGCAGGGGGTGACCGTGGCACCTTCACGGCTGCACCAGCCCTAAGCACACTCACCTGCCCCTTCTGTGAGCAGCTGGGGTCCCGGGAGACACCACCGCGCCCTGCCAAGCAGCTTTCCCTTGGAGGGGAAATGGGAGGCCCCTCTCCCCTGCCTCCCTAGGAGGAGGCTCTACCTTGCTCAGTCAGGACCGGCCCGGCCCAGCCCACATGCTGCCCAGCCTGGGATCAGAGCAGACCACACATCGGCCCCAGGGGGACAGTGGAAACCTCGTGCCCAGGGCCTCTGAGAGGACAATGACTGTCAGTGCCTTCTTGAAAGCCATTTTGGCCACAGTGTCCTGCCAAAGGCAGCAGCCCATTGCCAGGCCCCAGGTTCTTGGGCTTGGAGAAGACAAGGGTCCAGAAGGCCTGGGGGAGGTGCCTCCCCAGGCTGAGCCTGGGCCTTGGGCCCAGGGCTCCCATTGTCCATGTTGGGCAGGAGGGTGGGAAGACCAGGCCTGGCCTAGGGTGTGGGGCTGCTCCGCGAGGGTATGGCAGTGGGTCCCAAGGTTGGCACAGGTGACACGTGGCTGGGGCACCAGGGGGGATCCTGGGGGCCAGCTGCTCCCTGACTGGTGCCTGCTCACAGCCAGCAGTGATGACATGACCCTCACCAGCCCCAGCATGGACAACTCTAGTGCAGAGCTGCTCCCCAGTGGGGACTCACCGCTGAACAGGAGGATGACGGAGAACCTGCTGGCCAGCCTGTCTGAGCACGAGCGGGCAGCCATCCTCAGTGTGCCCGCGGCCCAGAACCCCGAGGACCTCCGCATGTTCGCCAGGTGGGGGCAGGTGGCAGTTCTAGGGTCAGGACAGAGTGGATGGGGGTGTACCTGCACAACCACACTTCAGTCCACTGATGGCAAAGGGCACTCACTGGTTGAGGTTGTCCCCACCTGGTGCCTGCCTGTGGGGGGCTCTGTCCTGTACCTGCTGGGTGTTGCTTGTCACTTCTTGGGAAGCTGCAGCAAGGTCTCATCCTCATGGGCCTGGGCAGCTGGGCAGGGGTTCTTCCCAGGACTCTTAGGCTGGGGTGGGGTCTGGGATCTCCCCATCATAGGGAACAAGCCTGGGGGCACTGCAGGTGTGTGGTGTTCTGGGAGGTCAGGTTGTCAGGAATGGAGCACCCCCAGCCAAAACCCAACACGAGGCCATTGTCTGCCAGCCTCCTATGCTGGCCCCAGCTACAGACATGCCCAGAGCCAGAGTAGCAGGAAAGACAGAAGCCTGGCAGACCTGTCCCTGCACTGCCCTCAGAGCGCTGAGGTGGGCGCGACACTTGAGGGGACTGTGGTGGGCCAAGGTCCGGGACGCTGCCAGGGAGGGGGCAGGGTGTGAGCAGCTGCTCCCTGGTAGGCATCTGAGCCCACACATGCTTGTCCCCCGCCCCACCCCCAGGCTCCTGCACTACTTCCGTGGCCGCCACCACCTGGAGGAGATCATGTACAATGAGAACACCCGGCGCTCCCAGCTGCTCATGCTCCTGGACAAGTTCCGCAGCGTCCTGGTGGTAACTACCCATGAGGACCCGGTTATCGCTGTCTTCCAGGCCCTGCTCACGTGAGCCCGAGCTGAGGATGGGGCAGACGGGCTGCTGCCGTGGGCAGGGGTGCTGGCCTGTCCCCTCCCCATGCGGCCACTGCCCTCTGCATCCTCAGTTTGATCCAGTCCTCGAAACAGACTCCACGTCTGAGCTGAGAGGGAGAGGCTGGAGATGGAGGGAGCATCCAGGACTCAGGCCTCCGAGTGAGACCTGCGTGCTTCCCACACAGGCTCAGGCCTGAGTTCTCTCAGAGCCCCCTCCCCACCCTGCTGGTCCAGAGTGTGAGGCCTGAGTGCCCAGCCCAGACCTCACCACTGTCCTGCATTAGCCACCAGGAGGCTATGGCCAGGCTGTCACCCCACAACACACCCCACTCAGCCGCCACCTGAGGCACAAGGACCTGGGCTGATGATGTGCTGCAGCTGGTGAGGGCCTGCTGAACGTGCTTCCTTGGGGTAGGGGCAGGAAGCTGCTCCGCACTGGTGCTTCTGGTCCTCCTGTGCCCAGGGCAGCCTCTCAAGACACCTGCTGCACTCGTAGACCCGGGTCCTACCACGGAGGAAGAGCTGACTACCAAGGGGCTCTGGCTGAGACACAAGTGACAGTTTTCTGGAAACAATGCATTTATTTTGTTTTTAAACAATTAAAAATCGTCATCCACGCAGGTCCTTACTCAGGCCTGTGCAGTCTGCTCAGCCGCTCTGTCCACCACGCTGACCCAGGGGCTGCCCTGCACATAGAAGCGCAGGGGTTTGTGCGCCCACTCTCCAGCATGGCCGATGCCCACTCGGGCTGCTGCCACCACCGCAGACTCCCTGGGCCCCTGCTCCAGCCATACAGCTTCATCTGTGGCCAGGTCCCGCTGGTCGAAGCTCTTGTCAATGGCCAGGGCCTGGCACAGCTTGGAGGGGCCGTTGCAGAGCTCACGGTCTTTGAGGGCTCGGCCTGTGGCACCTTTGCGGAGGGTACTGCGCAGCTGCCGCATGGCCTCCAGGCCTCCCAGGGGCTCCAGGGCTCGCAGCAGGACACATGCCCCATCCCCTGTGGGAGAGACAGGGCCCCCAGGGCGGTTGCCCTCCCTATCACAGGGCACGAGAAAATGCTCACTCACCGTCCATACGCTCAGCCCGCCTCCCCTCCTGCACACCTGCACCCACACGCACCCCTGCCTCTTGTGGGTGCCTCTGGCCACCTGACCACCAGCTGGGGAGGACCTGGGAGAAAGCCTGGCCAGAGCTCCCGGGTTTCCTCTGGTTTGGTGATTGGCTCTCATTGTGAGGCTGGCCCTCCACCCTGGGGCCCGTGGTCCTCCATCTGCCTCCCCCACTGGGTGTCTTTTAGGGGAGCTGGAAGGGTGGCTTGAACAGCCACCAATGTGTGCAGGACATGGGTGAGCCCCACCCTGTGACCCAGTGGGGAGACTGATGCCCACCCCCACCTCCCTCAGGGTCCCCTCCCCAACCAGTCTAGGCCACTTAAGAGACAGGGATTCCCTCGAGAAGACATCTGTCCAAATGCCTTTAGATTCCTGCCTGGGGACAGTGATTATCCTCTGGGCTCTGGACAGAGAAGCCCTGATCCTCCAGCAAGGCCACTCTCCTGGGATACCTGCTCCAGCTGGGAGTCTGAGGGGCTCAGCCTGAGGCACAGCCAGGCCAGTCCTCACCCTCAGGCCTCAGCCACACAGGCCTCCCCATGAGCACCCAGGAGCTGGCCCTGAGTACTTGTGGCAGCCATGGCCTCCTGCGTAGCCAGCAAGTGTGCAGGTGTTTGTGACCAGGTCCCCTTAACCAGATGGTTTTCAAAGGACCTCGAGATGTGCCCAAAGGCCCATAAAGCCTTGAAATTTTAGTCCCTTCTTAGGCCCTCCCCTGTCCACCAGCCTCAAGGCTACCTCTGGTTCCACCCTCTGGGTGCCACCTGCAGAAGGGTCGGAGGAGCAGTCAGCCCCTCCTCTCCTGGAACGCACCTGAGTCCCACATCCTGACAAAAGCACGACACCCCCACCTCTTCCCACTGGGCCTCCCCATCACCCCCTACTCTGCCCATGCCAGCCACTCAGCCCCTGGAGTTGGCCCTACCTGTTCTGATCTCTGCACCATCTCTGCCTCAGGGACACGCAGGCCATGACTGTCCTCAGCCACCCCTGCTCACTGCACCCAGATGACCCTTGGCCCTGACTGTTTGCACTTCTGTGGCTTTTCTGTCCCCCTGGCCTGGATGTTCCTGGGGCCCCTTGGTCTTGTGACCAGAAAGTACCATGCCACTTCCCACATCTGCCTTGTTCACTGTACCTGCAGAAGACTTGGGCTCCCCCTCTTCCTCACTGATTGCAGCCTCTTGCCCAAGCGCGGTCTCCCCTCACACAAGGGGTTGGTTCTAATGTCAAAGAAAAGCTTAGCAACCTGAGTAAGCTCTCTGGGTGACAACAGGGCCCCCGGGGGCCATCCATGCCACTCAGTTTCACTCAGCACCTGCTTTGTGCTGGGCAGAGGGCCAGTTGTGGGTTCCCTGTGTCTTCTCACCCCTGTGGCTCTGGCACTAGACATCCCCAGCTGTCCACTCTGGGCAGTCACAACTCACACATCACTGGACTTGTTCCACGGGTGTGACTGTCCTCAAGTGTTTGTTTACCTGGGATGGCAGCTGGCACTGGCTAGTCCAAGTGGGCTGGGCTGACCCTGCTGCAGGTCAGCAGTGGCTCGGGCAGGACGGTACTATGGTACTATGGGCTCTTCCTGCTGAGCAGAGACCACCCAGAAAACAGAGCTGCCTACTCATGAAGGACAGAGGCTGCCGCAGGGTGGGTCTCCTGAGATGGGTGGGCCCTCCCGGGAGCCGTCGACCAGCGTCTCTCTGCATGGCCCCGCTGACCTTTGGGGCCCACAGTTCTCTGGGAGGCTATCCTGTGCGTTGTGAGCTGTTCAGCATCACCTCCATCCACTATATGCCAGTAGCATCCCCCCAGCAGTGATGACCAGAAATGTGTCAGACATCGCCTAATGTTGCGTGGGGGTGGGGGTGGGCAGGGTCATCCCCAGTAGAGAAGAGCTGATCCAGACCTGTAACTGGCTGCCTGGCAAAGCTCTGCCTGAGCCTAGCTCACCCCAAATCGATCTCACCCTGTTTCCCCATGATCAGCCCCTCCCAAGTCTACCCTGGGCTGTCAGTGACACCAGCTCTGAGCTCTGGGACCAGTGGTGGCCTCATGGAACCATCTGCTCTATGTTCAGGTCAACCCCTGACCTCTACTCCATGGGGGCCCCCTGTACCTCCAACCACCCTGTCAGTGCAGCCAGAGTTCCTAAAACCCCAGCCTAGGCGAGCAAGGGCACCCCCTTGCTCAAACACCTGCCCAGCCTGGTCCTCCCAAGGGTCTATCAGCTGAGGGGACTGCTCTGGCCTCCTTCCCCCACTCACCCCATGCCCCAGCACCACTCACCTCGGCTGGAAACATTCATGCAGAAGTACATGCCATAGATGAGATACACGTACAGGGTCCCTGGCTTCATGAACATGCCACGGTTGCGGGGGGTCTGCCGGCCACCCCGAGAATGGGCAGCTTCATCCTCTGGCCCCAAGTATGCCTCAGTCTCCACAATGCGGCCACGGAGCTCCGTGCCATCATCAAGTCGTCGGACCAAGACCTGCTCAGGGCAGGAAGGGGTGGGGTCCACACAGCCCACAGCCTGGACTCACCTCCCCATCTCAGAATGCCCCAGGACACCCAGGTCTAGCCCCACTGTCCCCTCCATCCTACTGGACTACTGGACCGCAGGCCCCTCACGAACTGTCCTATCGTCAGGTGCAGCCATCTTAAACCCCAGCCACGGCTAGGCTGGGCACCAGCACCAGTGAATTCATGCACTTCAATCTCCTCAGCCGCATCCCCTGCCTCCTCCCCAAGCCCCACTGGACTGAAATGCCCAGCCTGAGGCCAAGCAGCGTGTAGGTCACAGGGATTCCAGAGCCTGTGGTGCCCCCTCCACCTAGACTAACCACAAAGGACTGTCATACTCAGCCCTGACCCACCCAGCTCAGAGAGACCTTTCTGAGCAGAGGGACCAGCTGCCCCACAGCGTCCCAGCCTGAACCATGACCCTGGGTGTCATAAGCTCCTCAAGGAGTAGAGTGGGCTGGGCAGCGAGCCAGGGAGGCGAGCCTGGCGATAGGACCCTGGGCAGTGGTGGGTCCAGGAGGGGCCAGCGGAGGACAGGGCAGGGGCAGTTGCCAGGGGCTGTCCCCAGAGGGGTGGGCACTCTCATGCCAGCAGAGCATCTAGAGGGGCAGAGCAGGCCACAGGGGAGCTGGTCAAGGCCTGTGGAATGTGAACCCCTCCGCCCTACTCCTTTGCCACATGGCACCACAGGATGGCCCTAAGAGTGGTCAGCAGTCACATCCAGAGTCTAGAGCCTGGGTCTGACTCAACTTGGGTTCACAGTAGTTTCACAGGCCAGCCACCTCCCCAGAGACACCCCCAGCACCCTCCTTGTCCTTAGGCCAGGGCAGTCAGTTGGGTGGCCAGGCTACCTGCCTTAGCCTATGGAGCCCAATGAGTCTGGGGCTGGGGTCAGTGTCATAGGGGCAGGGAGGTGGTGCTGAAGCCTGGATGCTCAGTTGGGGAGCACTACAGAAGGCCTTCCTGGGGACAGGGGAGGAAATCCTAGAAGTCCCCTACACATCTACATTTTGGGCTTGGCCATACCATCTCAGACAAGGCCTCATTTCCACTTTCCAGGAGATCAGAGGGAAAAGTCCCCCATCCACTTGACTGCGTGTTTCCACACCTCCCAAGGCCCTTTCCTCACCCCCACTAAAAACACAGCTCCTTCTTGCTAGTAGAGGGTCCCAAGAGATACAACACTCTTCTCAGCCAAGTGGGTGACACGAGAGTGGTCTGGGTTGTCATGGAAACTCACTGCTTCTTGCAACGACCTGTTTAAGGATGAGTGCACAACCCAAGCCTGGTCAAGGGGTCTGCGAGTACCTCTGTTGGGAGGTCAGGAAAAAGGGATGTACAGGGTGAAACACTCCTCTGCTGGCCATTGCCCTGTCCACCCTTGGGCTCAAGTGGGCACGATGGGAGCCTAAAGGGAGACTATGACAGTGAGGCCCTTGGGCCGTCAACCTGACACTGGGACTCACCTGCCCTGTGTGCCATTTCATGTGTGATGATAAACCCTCATTTTTTAAGGTGCTTTTAGAAGGATCTTCTGGCTCTCGCCACTGAAAGCATCCTCACAGGGACAGACTGACTAGGTCACACTTTAGGCCACACTCCACCAGCCCAGGTTTCAGGATCTGTTCCCCTCCACACATCACTCTTGGCACCAATCTTCTATCAGCCACAGAAACCGACTCTCCTTGGCCATTTTAACCTAACGGTAGGCTCACTAAAGGAAAAAGAGTAGCCATGGAAGCTCAAGGAGGACCAGAGAGCTAGGCCTAGAGTTTGGTACCCAGGAATAAAACACAGATGGTGCTCCAGATGGATGTGGCCAAACTCTGCTGTGGCCGGCACATGTGGACACACACACTGCGTGCTGATGGGCTCTGCCCCCACGGGCCATGGGCAGTCTCTGCTTCCCGCTCAAGAACTTGGAGCTGCAGGGGCTGCCTGGAGATGACTCTGACTTGCGCAGCCCAGAGGCCACTGTCTAAAAGCTGATACACACACAGATGAGCTCCAGCAAGGGAACTTACTGTGCTGGGGATAGCCCCTCCCAGACACAGCCAGCACTGACCGTGGTCCTTTCAGGAAACTTGCCCTGAGGGCCATCCCACGTGGAGACGGCTAACGCTGCTGTGGCTCCTGTCCTCACTGCCCAGAGCAGGCAGGCAGGTAGTGGCCCCCCTGCCCTCACCCAGGGCAGGCACCATGAACAATCTCAGCATTCTTCCTGGCCCATCCTGGACCCAGCCCCTGCCCCAGACGAGTGAGGTGAAGCTGCCCAGCAACACGTGTGGGCAAAGCAGCTAACTGCATGGGGACAAGCAGGCCCAAGTCAGGGAAGTGAGCCCAGGGTGAGAGGACTAGGGCCCACGGACACTGCACGGAGATCACTGCCTCAGCAGAGGCCACACCACTACATTCACATTACCTGCCCCAGAAAGGCCCGTGCCAGGGGGACTGCAGGTTGGTCGAAAAACTCTGATCCCAGGCGAGCAGGGCAGCCCTTCAGGTTTGAGAAATAGATGCTGCGCTGAGGGCCCAGGGTCGAGGGCAGGCCCAAGCGGGGCTCCTTAGGGGAAGGTGTCTGGGTTCCATCTGGTGGTTTCTGATGCTGCTTGGCCTCCAACAGTCGCTGCCTTTTTTGGCCCATTCTGAAGGAAAGCTGTGACAGGAAAAGACAAAATAAAGTGTATGAATAGGAGGGGACAGATGATCTCGAGGTGAAGTCAATCATTCAAGGACTCACTTAACTGCCTGTCTTCAGTTTCCCCATCTGCAAAAAGGGGGCAACCACCTTGTGGGTTGTTACAGGTATGAACAGAACGCCACACTTGACACACTCACCCCTGTGCTGGGACCCAGGAGGACCTGGGAAATGACTGCGCATGAAGGCAGGTTGGTGGCAGGGGTGATACAGGCCATCACAAGCAGGAGTTACACAGCCTGCTGGCCATGGGCTACAGGGCTCAGGGAGGGGACAGTGGCACCTGAGCCTGGGGAAAGGGCTGGTACCCTCTGATTCCCATTCATCACGTGGTCTCCAAATGAACTTCTGAGTTTGTTTCTGGAACCCTGCCCTTTGAACCGGCATCCATGCCCTTCCTCCATGTCAGCAGGGCTCCCACTGTGCCAGACCCCTCCTAGAATGGCCCAGAAGGCCTGACACACACATGTGGGTTAGCACCAGGCAGATGGTCTACTTGGTCCCACCACAAGTGCTCAGGGCATGACCCCCAGTGAGTCCCCAACTGCCTTCTGCCTCATGACCCAGGATGTCAGATTGACAAGGATAAGTAAGGCAAATGTGAGGTCGGAGGAATGAGGAGGATCTGCTGAGACCAGCACACTACCTGCCTTCCACCAGCTACCACAGGTCCAAGGAAGCTGACCACACCCCCTTGGCCATTCTGGGACCAGCTGCTCTCCGATGAAAGGAGCAGGTAAGCACCAGGGCCTGGAAACACCCTCCTCAAGGACTGATTCCAATGCCTTCCTGGCATGTGACAGACCCCTTATTTTTAACATAAGTGCAGACACTGCATTGAACGGAGACCGCCCGTCTGCTAAGAATGGATGCTGACGTGATAGTCTTTGCAGCTCGGCCCATCTGCCAATACCCACCGGGGCTCAGACTCTCGGACACTGTGGCCCCAGTTCTAGTCCCAGGTTTGGCCCCTAGCCAACCTTGAGGCACTAGGGTTGCTATGGGTCTCTGCCCTGATTCGCCCTGGACAGTGGGGGACTCGCAGAGCTGCCTAGGGACTGAGGCTCAGAGAGGCCTGGGCTTCCCTACTGCTGACCTAGGATTCGAACCGGCCCCAGGCCTCAGGCCTCAGAGTGAGGTTACCCTGCCTCAAAATGTGCACCTGGACACCTTACACACATCCCTGGCCCTGGTTAGAAATCAGGTGTTCCCTGGGTGAAGGGCCCCAGAAAACGACTTAAGATGTCTGTGCCTTTGTTTCCTCATATGCAGAAAGGGAACCAACATCTATCACACAAGATGGTTCTGTGAATAAAATGAGAGACGCCAGGTAAGCACTTCACTGGCAGAGAGCAAGCACTCAATGAGTGTTAGGAAGAAACACCCTCCACAGGGGATGCTTCTGGGCAAAACCTGGGGGCAAGAGTATCTTGCCAGGCTGGGCCCACCAAGAGGGCAGGAAACAGTCGCCTGGATGGGGGTGTCCAAGGGACCCACCAGCTCTCCATCAAAACCTGGGCAAATTATGGGGGTGGGGTCAGTAAATAAAGGGAAAGTACTTGTCTGGGCCAGACAGTGAAGCGAGGAGTGAGGGGAAGTGGCTCCTCAGGCCAACCGCGAGGCCAACCCCGCGGTCATTTCTGTGCCAGGCTGGCTCCAGGGCAGGGGGGCGTCTAAGCCCCAGCTTAGTGCCCAGCATTTAACCAGAAAATTGGTGTCGGGCTGTCCTTACTGGAGAACTCGGGCCGGGCCTCGACTTTGCTTCTGGGAAACGGAGCCGCCGAACCGGGGTCCGACCCCCGCCAGCAGGCGCTCGTCTGGAGGCTGCAGACCCCGAAGGGGCGGGCCCGCGCGCTCGTTACTGGTCCTCTCCGGGCTCCCTCTCAGCGGCTGCCTGGGGTTGTGGGGTCCAACTCCGGGTGACAGGCTCGCCCCCGAGCCTGTCCCTCGGCCGCGCGCCGAGCGAGGAGCGCGCTCACTTGGGCGCGCACTCACCTGGGCCTCGCGCGGCGCGGGCATCTGGCGGCTCCCGCAGCGACTCTCGCGGCCAAACCGCCCCGCGGGAAGCCCACCAGGAGCGGATGCCGGAAGCGCCGCCCGGTCCATGGGGTGGA